TGTATTTTATTGCGACATACAGTCGTAATTCCCTTCTAAATGTTGAGCAAAATTATCAATTTTTGGCGAAATTTGGCCTGTTTAATTTTTGGCAAAACAATCGTCATACCAGGGAGACCCTGAGGTCTAAAGCGAAGCGTCTAAAGGTCTAATCTACGTGTCTACCTATACAATATTCCTTTTAGAGGCGACTTTAAAAGGAATACTTTAATAGCACGCATCACAACCACGTATGGCTATCGCCTTTAAATTGACAGTGAAGTATATTGTATGGAAGAATAGAGTTTATTTTACGTATTCATTCATGCCAACCATGCCTGGGCCCTAATTCACCGAGCGAACAATTGATTACTTGCCAGTCAACCTCTAAAACTACAATGAAATCGTAACTTCACTACATTTTTATTACAAAAAGCTTGAAAAATAGCCTGTTAATTACTTAATATTCTAAAACATTCAGTTATTGTTCCAATACGTCAGACGAAGTCCTTGCCAAGATCATAAAATAGACCTTTGGTTGACTGACTAAGACTGAATTCAATTATACTTGAAGCAGGGCCCTGAATAACACGCGAATATTGACGAATGATCACTGCGAGTGTAACACACCTTTTAGTAAATATAAACAGTATGTTTGTCGGCTCAATGTCTACAGAGCCCACTTTATAGTGATAAAATGTCGTAAACGCGCACTATTCTTAATGTCTCACCATGAAGTATTGAGTTAGTCTCGAGTATGAAGACGCGCTTAACTACAGTTATTGCGTAACACTATGATACAAATGTTATACGCATGCCTGGTTCACGTTACAACTTACCATACGTCTGTCCTGTCCCACCCTCCTATACCAACTGAGGTTTTTTTGGCGCCCAACACGGGGCAAATGATAGTACACACAGGGTTGCCAACTTTTTAGTAGAAATGTTACAATTTAGATTAGTGCCTGTTGACGGGTTCGCCCTAAGTAGTTAAATCACAGTTTTAAAGCCAAAGTATATAGATTGGCAACCCTATAAACTAATTACTACAAGTTTAACGTGCAAACTATCTAGAAAGATAAAAATGTGTAAATACAACAAAACCAAACCCAGCGGGAAGTCCCACGCTAAATAAAACACACAATTTTAATTTCTAATATTATATCCATGTAATGACACATCAGGTAATTACTAGGTGCTCCATACAGCGGGCAAATTCCTTCTAAAACTACAAACTATACCTACTGCCGGCGTCCGTCGCAATAGGGTGACACGCCAACAATCGGACACACAGTAATCATAAAGCATAAACAATTCACACAGGAACAAATCGCCAATCTCATCAAAATAAAGTCAGGAAATAGAAATGATCAAAGTCCACAAATGTAGCTGTCACCCCATCTGTTAACAAAGCGACGGACTACAGCGACCAGTTACCGCGTGTAACTATGAAAGGGTGAGTCGATAATCGCCACCCTTTAAGGGAAGTTGGAACAGTACAATTTATGAAAAAAAAAACAAAGTTATAAGTAGATTACAAACACTGTGTGTGGACGCGAGGCGGCAGCGGATCGTGGAATCGACAAATGTGCGGGTAACTATTTCTAAGGAGGTGTAATTTAAATTAGGCAACAGTGCAACGGTTTAGTCGCTGAGTAATAAAAACTGATATGAAACAACAGCAGTGACTATTTCAATTATTTCACAAGTATGTTAATTAGTGGGATATTAATGACTTGATTAGTAAATAAACTTTCAATTTAAGATCATTATTTAGGCCTGTAAATGCTTTCATCGCACAAATATTTTTTCTCACTACCCACATATGTTTAGCAATCTCGCGTCCACGCACTCGCCGCCACAGTCTATCTAATTTGGCAAGATACTAAGCATTCGGCGACGGATACAGTAGTCAACCATTCTAATACTGTTTTAGGAAATGATCGCTAATGTACAAAAGGTGTAGTTGGGTGAACAGCGGCGCGCGCTTTCTGGCCACACACACTTCGAAAATAAATTTACTTAGTTTCAAATGTTAGTTAAACGTTAAGCTTGTTTTTATCCAGTTGCCACCAAAGTAGAGACAACTTAAACATGACAGTAATACTCAAATTAACAGCCTATCACTGGAATGGACATTAATTTTAATGATTTAAACCGATATGAGACCAATTTTTCTTTTTAATTTATTTACTTGCTTTTAATACTAACCGGTTTTAGTGCATATTTAATAGTATTTTCAAATTCACTGGGTATAAATTCTTTTAACTGTTTGTTTCAATAGTTTGACGAAAAAGCGCGTTCCGCGTATAATCTCAGGAGGTTCTAAGCCTACTTACACTATGAATACTGCTATAATAAGGGTAGGTTGGTGTATACATAAGTGAATATCATAGCATACGGTACCCGCAACATGTGGGGAGATGTTAAAAGGGGTTTTTCTATTTTCTAAGGGTAGTTTGATAGAAACTTTCAGAAATGAAATATACAGATAAATCAGCTGTACTTAACAATGTCATGAATGTTTTTTTTCGTTAAATAGTATCTCAAAGGTGTGTCTAAATTGGTTGACGTCTTTTAAAACTACCCACACATCACGGTTACAAGTGTGTCGGCGGTAGGGTTGCCGACCAAGCTACCACATGCATACTGCACTACTTTGCCCCGTAGCGTCGCCTCTGTACAAAAAAGCTCGTACACGCTAATATAAATATAGTAAGTACTTTAGTAATAGACAATTTCCTGTCCATGGGGCACTTCCCATCGACTGATATTACATTTTATTGCTTTTCTATTCATTTAAGTTATTTATCTTGAAGAGTGGTTAAAGATTTTAAAAACTTTTTCGGAGGGGAAGTTGCGAGTGGAAATGTCTTTTAAAATAATATAACTATTAAGTACGAAGAGTTGCCTAGTTTTGAGATAAAAATTTAAAATCCCATAAGTGGGATTCCAGTTGCTGGAACCACTACCACTATGCAATTTTCACAAGGAACTTAAAGATTTTTTTTGAGAATATCACTCAAATTCTAATACTGTTGTTTGGGTCCAGGACCATCAAATCGTCTTAAAATCTAAAAATTGCACGAACACAACCACTTATGTCTTTTTTAATCACTAGTCACAAATCGTGTATTGCTCTTTAATCTAACGCTACTTTTGATAAAAATTAAGTACTTTAATCATAGGACGTAATGATTCAAATAGTTTTAGTGAAACTGTCTTTACGGGTTAATATTTACGTTTACCTAATTATATTAATTTTTTTTCATTGAATAGAAAGGTTTTTAAAACAAACTTTTGACGGTAACATGGCAATATCGGTATATACGGTGCTTCTGTCCGGAAAAAATGAGTTTCAACTAGTTCTTAACTTCTAAATAAGTGTGGTGTTTATCTTCTTTCCATTCTTCTACAATAAAGACAGTTACACAATCACTATTCGGCTTTAAGTAATCACCGAAATCAAAGTTTTTATTTACTTCTAAATATATTTAGAGAACAGAAAGCGACGCCACGGGGCCATGACAATCTACAGCGGCTTAATACTTAGCTTATTGTCACGGTACAAGGGTTGTTAGTCCATTCGCTCATACACACTAAACTAAATTATTATAAACTATATGCTTGAGTTCGTTTCTGGTGTGCAATAGATTGAAAAAAATATTAAACCTTAAACTCAAACCAAGATTAGTAAATATGATAAACTATTGGAAATAACGAGCGTTCAACTCAAAAGCTCAAATGTGGATGTGAAATAAACTAAATAATAACCTAAGACACACCAAAACCGCAGGCATCTATTACTACGTATGTCAATATATAATACTATATGTAGAATGAGATTGCTTTACGCTCATGTCAGATATGTATGAGTGTGTGAGCTGAGCAGTTGACGCCGTGTGACGAAGCGCTATGCGGACGACCCGTCCGTTCGTTTCGAGTAACCTGCCTCGACTGACCGAATCCGATGCCTTCACATGTAAAATGTAACATGTATATATAATATACTGATTATTAGCTAAAGAGATATCGTATTTAAACCAATTAGACAGTAAGATTAGAACTGAGCAATTTATTTTTTTGGAGGTATTTTTCCTGATCATTTCTTAGAAATAAATTGAGGTAAAATGAGCATAATTTGGCACAACCGTGTTCTTCTAGAAATGGCACCTTAGTTAATAATACTGATTTTTGCGAAGACCATTTCTTTTGTTTTAATAGGATACGTTTACCAATAATTATATTATTGCTTATAGTTCGTTTTTGGACAACGTAGACACTAAGTTTAATTTTGTATAGCGTAGTCACACAGCGTCTACACCGCAAAATATGTAATATATATTAATTCTTATATTCATATTAAAAAAATACATAGCTGCAAATGAGATTCATAATAATACAGTCTAGTTATAAATATTATAATGTTAACTTATTGCCAAACGACCGTGCACTAACTCTACAACTAAATTACAAAATATCAAAGATAATAAGGAAAAAATAAGTTTTTTTTCGCAACTAAATTACTTGAGATCTTCGCCTTAACGTTAAGGGGTCAAGGGACACAAAACGACGCGAATCCGCGGGAAAAACGACGATTTTTTTATAGGCATTCTTTGACTACCTACATAAAAAAAACTCAGTAATACAGCATACAGTACAAAATAAAAAAAAAAAATCAAAATTACAAAATAATTCTACCGTCATTCCCCGCTTTCAAGCGCAACAGTCATAAATCGCCTTAATAAATTAACTTTTTATAAAAAAAAAGAAATGCTTTTCTTTGACGCCCAACGCGGGCTTAAGTATTGCTTCAAACTGTCTTACACTAAGTTTATGAGCCAATAAACATCTTAACTACTTCAATACTGATCATTCCCTCTCGTGGCCACTGCGAGTCGCGGCAAGACAAACCCCTAAATTAAAAAAAATAGTACGTAGGAACTCTATCGTAAGAAATAAAATATGCTCGCTAAGAACCTAACCTTGTAGAGGCGGGTGGGTTACTCTTCGTTCGACATCTAGATGTACATGGGGAGGCCGTACATCGCTCCCCAGTCTACTCCTTGAAACGAGGACATGTCGACACCAGCTAGAGAATACGCTGCTCCAAATTGGGGCAATGTTGGCGGAGGAGCGGGAGCAGCCTGCGCCACTACAGGAGCGCCTTGTCCGACGGCGCCTACGGCTCCTACGGGCAAGGCATAAGGTGCGTACCGGTAGGCGTGAGCTCCTACAGCAGAAACTCCTCCCACTGCAGACACCCCTCCAACTCCTCCGGTGGCGTACACCAAGCCACGACCAGGCCGTAACACCAGTCTCTTCCCGAGAGCTAGAGGCGCTGCTGCGACCGCTTCTTTCGGTTGCGCGCGCTTACACTCTACTTTTTTGTTTTTAATCGTATGGAAGTGGATGTCGCACACACGTTCAACCGCCTCCTCGGAATGGAAGGTAACAAAGCCAAATCCTCTATGTCGCTTTGTCTGCTGGTCCATGAGCATCACGGCGTCTTCTACCAGACCGAATTGTGAGAAGTATGACCTGACCTCTTCAGCTGAAGTGTCCTGGCCGACGCCGCCTACAAAGATTTTCTTCGTTTTGGCAGGGCGTGGGGCCGATTTCGGAGTGGCATGCTTCGGGTCGATGCGCTTCCCGTCCAGCGTGTGGACTGGCACAGCAAGGACTTTGTCCACGGAGGAGGCCTCCTGAAATGTGATAAAACCGAAGCCGCGCGATCTCTGCGCGCGGCGAGGACTAAGTATTGGGTAAGTCAAGATTGCGATGAGAGGGGATAAACGATTTTGAATATGAATATCGATATTTTGCTACTAGACAAAACTACATTATCTCGTCAATGGTGCTGTTACAAATGTTATCTTATATTCAAAATGGCCTATTCCCCCTTGAGAAGTCGTAAGGAGCGTTGTTACATACTCGTATCGCTACCTACTAGTGAAACATATGGTATTCTACAATATTCAAACATTAATTCAAATTCAACGGTTAATTTCATAGACAATGTACTCAAACTCAAGACAAACAAGTGTGTATACCATCTAGTATTGTTAAGGATATACCTAAGTATCTTCACACAGAAGTACGTATCTTTAATTAATTAATTAACTAGAAACGATGTCTTAACAAGGAGATACTATAAAGTAGGGTTAAATTATATTGTTACTATTGTTTATACATGGTATTTATTTAATATTTTGAGTTGGCAACTAAATATTCTACATATACGGCGGTTTCATAACTATTAGTAATAAAAGGAGATACTAAAAGGAATATTGATATTATTGTCAGTCTAGGTGGTAGTTATATTTTTAAGTTGGCAACTAAATAATCTACTAGTTACGTCAGTAGCATGTTTCATAATATAAAAGGTAGACGCTGCAGAGGTTATAGTAAAAATTGATACAACAGTTAATTTAAACAGTGATCTCGTTCTATTCTGCCAATACTGATATTATTCTAGTTCTTACGATAGTAATGTTAACGAAAAAAGATCTAGGAAAAAAAGGATTACATGGTAGTTTTAATAGTTGATCACTAATAAAGTATTCTACTATTAAGGTAGTATATTGCAACCCCTAATAAAAAGATATGAAAACGACAGATGACTGACAGTTACATAAATGATTTTTTCAACGACGATTTTTAGCAACTCTCAAATTTAGCAGGCACTTGTAAATAAAAAAGTTCGATTTGGAAAAACAGGTAGCATAGGAGATAGGAAACTACTTTGTAGCAAAGTTTGAGTATTTTAGTAGGTCTTGTCTAACCATATTTATGGTTTTGTACAAATAAATGAGAATAAATCAAGAAATGATTCTTTATGAAGAAATAAATTAGAAACATAATATTACAAATGTGTGAAGAAACGATAAATCGCGAAATAAAATCGTCAATGTTGTTCCTTACTTTGAAGAGATTTGATATTAAATATGATTTTATATGATTGATCTGTTAATTTTACAACATATTATAAGTGACATGTCATTAAGAACGCGCCAAAATGAATAGCTTTGAAAACTTCTTTAGATATCTGTTTCATTATGACTGAATAATTTGTGTGTTGCCACTCACTTAAATCAGGGCAACCACCAATCTTCAATCAAATTTACCGTTCTAGTTCGTATCGATATTCCATTAGCCTCTTTAACTGAACATAATATTTGTGTTGTTAGTAGGTTAATATCGGATACTGTTTCGGGACGGGATGGAATTTGGAACAGGTTTCAATATTTCTTTTATCATTTATTGTTTGTTAGCTTCCTTGACTAAGAATATTATATTTATAGTAATATCAATAAACTTAAAAATTAATAAAGATAATAATGGAATTGAAAAAATAACTGATATTTTTGCTATGGCAACATTTTATAGTTATCGTGCACAATAGGAAGAAGTGTAATTATTAATATTTCGGTTTTTTTTACATAAATAAGGGGTTCTTCATGCTCGTGAAGCTATTCTATAGTGGACATTAGTGGTTTTATCAATTTTATGCATTAACTATACCTTTAGATAATACAATTCTCATTATAATAGCACGTATATTGCTATAACCGAGCAATGTTACCCTTAAAGTGTACTAAATTTCTACCATTGTCGGAGCATCGCAGTGTTACCAGTGAGAAAACTATTTACTTTATTTTTCTACCAAAACAGAATTATAGGCTATTCTGTAATTTAGCTAGTTACAAATGATTAACTGTGAAAATTCAATTTATATTTTTAAGATAACGATGTCAGTGTTGCTATGTTTGAAACTAATACTGTTATTAAAACAAATTAAAAAAACACATGCACAATTAAATTTCTTTAAGACATAAAATAGTCTATATACCCCTTAATCTCAAATGATTTTTAATTCTAAATTACCAAAACCATTATACTTAATACCAACAGAACTATAATAACTTAAACTATAACTCAACAATAATATTCTACTAAAACGGAATTAACGTCTACCGAAACAGTAATTACTTAAAGCATAGCAACACTGAAAAGGCGCTACCAGATTCAAATATAGAAATAGTTGATAGAAGAGTTGTATCATAATCAATAAGTCTATGCCTAACGAGTTTCTATGTTAGTGATTCTAGCATGCCGGGTCTTGTCTATGTTAATTTATTAGTGTATTTATACTCGGATCAACCATAGCCCAACTAAGTGTGCAGACTTGTAGACATATACGCAAAAGATTTTTTGTATTTGTAACGAGAAAGGATGCTTTGACGACACGTGAGTATTCAAAACTATTGTGGTGAGTTTAGAAAATGAGATTTTAAAGCTCAAAAAATGATAGGCAAGATTAATTATCCTTTTTTTCCCGTTCTGTAAGCCAGTATCGGTTTGAGAAAACTTGGATAGGTGTTATCCAATAAAACATGATAGATTTTGATCCAATAAAACATGATAGATTTTGGTTTTGCTCTATCAGTTTCGTGGGTTGGGATAATACATTTCAAATTTCATCCACTCTAATCGAGCTGGTGGGTACTTCGCTAAATGTAACAAATTCAGGATAATTATCTTGGGGTACATAATACGGTCGTGTACTTCTAGAGCAGTGGAAGCAGTCACACTGAACTCATAAATCATTGTAATTGTGGTAAATTTTAACTGACTTCAAAAAAAGAGGATCGTCTCAATTCTGGTGTATTTTTTCTGTTTGTTACAACAGAACTCCATCAATTAAGAATCCATTTGAAAAATTCTTCATTGTTTACAAGAGTTTAACGACGGCAAATTAGCCAGCCAGCCAGGATATAGGGAAGCATGGCTCTCCTATGTCTACTCACTCCATTTTGCAAGAAGCATCCTTTCTCAACTCGTCAAATTAAGATATTTGCACATATGTCTTGGGAGTCTTCCACACGAACCTACAGTACTACCTATTCCAATCCTAATCAAAACTATGACTGACCGACTGCGCGCCGCCATCTGCCTACCGCTGTCTTTGGAAAAATATCTCATTATCATTCTTACGTACTTTTAATGCTCGGAGATGATAGACCACTTGGGGGATTCCCCACAGGAAGTGTATCACGTGTCCAAGGTTGTATTGGTCAGAAATTCAAGACTTTTTATCTAGAGGTGACAGATTTTCAAATATTTATCTTTGCCAGTTCTCCGAATTCATACAAGCTCAATTCGCTACGATTGTATGAAATTAAGAAATAAAATTATGTAATTCATTTCAAAGTTTTAGTTTTTTAACTGTTTCACAAACTTGTGGAATGCAATCCGCTATGGTACGCTATTACGTCATCAAGTCAGTATCGTTGTAAAGTAGCGAATATTTCATTCCCTTTTTTAGATTTTTTGTAATATTTTATGCGGTTTTAAGCAGAAACGGTATAAATCTATCAATACTAAGGTCTTTAACAACCGTATAATTTCGATGTCGGTTTTCCGACTCTGAAAATCTCCTGGCAACACCAAATATTAAGTCTTGAATTTTGACATTGGCAAGGTTTAGCAACATGCGAGTGAAGGGATCACTATGAATATTCTACTCGTATGTGCTTACATCTATATTGTCTATGAGCATTAAATGAGGCGAGGGACTTAAATGTTTTATTTATTATCTGTTATTGTTTAAATTATTAGGTTTAATGGTTATTTTTAGTTTTATGCATGTGTGTGTAGTGTTGGGATTATTTGAAAAGGTCGCTAAAACTTCTTGGGGAGGGGCTGATAAGACTGATTACTTCTGGTGACCACTTACCATCCGATAAAGTTATTATTTATATTTATCTCAAAAAGAAAACATTAATATCTAATTAGTCATTTATGTTTCGCATGTTGCTAAAACTTTAATGCTATAATCTAGGGTAATTTTAAAATGTTACTTAATAATTTATCAATGAAATGTAGAATCACAAAGAATATTAGACGGTAATGTTATAAAACAAAGCCAGGTTAGTTACACTATTCATAATTGTAACTCAAGAACAGCTGGACCGTATTTCATATTTGATTTTACACGCTTTATATTAGCTTCACTTGTATGTTTGTTTGTAACCGACTCCTTTGGGCGTGATTTTGACTGACTTTAAACGGTCAGAATTTCAAATTTATTAAAAAAATAATCTTGGTTTTCTATAAAAAGCGTGTTTTTTAGTTATTAAAACTATTTTTGTAGGACTTGTCTTCGCTCCGCATATTTGTGACTATTAAAATATTTTAAAAATTCAAGACCAAACATGATTCATTTTTTCATACATAGTTTATGAAATCTATCACGTATGAAGAGCAGGGTCCTAACTAAAAACGCAGGTGATACAGCCGGGGAACTCCCGCATACATTTTTTGTTTGTGTTTGTTTAAAATACTATCGATTTACTAACTTTTAAACTTTCGCGTTCCATGATAATTAATATTATTTACCGGGAATTAACGCGATCTCTTATTTAGGGTATTACATACCTCTGGTTTGCCTGACGTTTCGACCAGGTTGCACCGGCCGTGGTCACAGGCTGACGTAAGCGGCGGTCGGTCAGATCGCGTTAATTCCCGGTAAATAATATTAATTACTATCGATTTCTTGAACAATCAGACAGAGTTGATTAATTTATTTTGGTATTGGATAGAATAGTTATTTGAGGAGGAACCCCTTACTAGAGCCAATGGTTCAAAGTAAGAGCACGTGAGATGCACACACTACAAAAATCTAATATAGAAATATTATTCTAAGGTTTCTTTTGTCTATTTTTTAATGTTTATTTTCTGTATATGTTTATGTCTTGAACGACACCGAAAACATTCCTAGTACAGTGGTTGTTTTATAAAATGGTAATATTAGAGACCTGAAGAGTTTATTTGATTAAACACGCTAATTTCAGAAAATACTAGTTCGAATAGCCCATTTATCGAGGAATCTATAATGCTAGACCAATAGCAGCCACAATTATTCCTTTTGAGAGTTTGTAGACAGAATTGCGCGGGTCAGCGCAGTCAATCATAATAAGATTTTAACAATTTTTCTTATAAGAAAATGAATCCTGTGATTCTACATTCCACCATCTAAACCATAACAAAACCAGCCCCGCCTCACCTGCGTGACCGGGTCTTTCATTATAAGCACGTCGGTCACTGGGCCGAACATAGCGAAGTACTCTCTGAGCTTCTCCGAGCTGGTCTGCCACGAAAGACCGCCCACGAAGAGTTTGCTGGGAGACGGTGATGTGGTGCCTGTAGAGGTTGGTGCTGAGCCATTGGCTGTGCTCGTCACTGGAGTCGAACGCCCTGATGAGGGTGACGTTTCTGTTGGGAGACAAAATATTATATTATTACTACACAAAACTGAAGAGAGTAAATTTCAGGATTGTACAAATTATGCATGTATATGTCTGCCGTTTTAATACATGTGACATATGAAAATAATGTAGGTACTATATTATCATCAGCCTATGGCAGTCCACTGCTGGACATAGGCCTCTCCTATTGCACGCCACTTCGATCGATTTTCGGCTTCTCGCATCCAGCTCCTGCCAGCCATCTTGCGCAAATCGTCACTTCACCTGGCCTTATTTTTTTATTAAATTATATATACATATTGATTACATTTTTAAATATATTACATAAGAAAAAAATACATTTAAAAATATATAAAATAGTAGACCACCAACATCGGGTACAGGGACCAAAACCGGTGGTTAGGACTCCAAAGATAGGACTAGACTCCTTCTCACTCTACGAGCCGTGTCAAGTACTGCCTTCTGCATCAGACCCTTGATCCAGCTGTCCAAGTTGAGCCAAGGTGTTGAGCCAAGCTCTTGGCTATCAATCCATGGGCAGATACGACTATCGGAACAATGATCACTAAATGGACATTCCACAATCCAAATATTTTATCTGTTTTTCTTTTTCAACTTTCACGAAATTCTCGTCATGAGGAACGGCGATATCATCAATCATTGCGCGGCGCTCTAATCGATCCATCAGTACAATATCAGGCTTATTGGCAACAATAGTCCTGTCTGTGATAATAGATCGATCGCAATACAGCCCGACCATTCTCGAGAACGGGCGGCTGGTGTACGTTCCTGGCTATTTGGTTGTGCCTGTGCAAATATTCACCGTTAGCGAGACCAGAACAACTAGCAATAATATGCCTGATTAATTATTTCCCAGGACGGTGGGATGCCCGACAGATTACAACCGTGTCATCTTTCAGGATATATTTCCGATAGTTATTGGTCATAATAACTTCGTCCTCAATCGCACAAACCAAACCTTCAGTTTTTCTGAAGAGAATACCATACCGTAGCCAAGTCGTAGATGCTTATAAGTCTTTACCGACCGTGGAGCTCTTTGCCCTTCCGTACTTCCCTGCGATCATTAGTACTAAGTACTACAGGTTTGCACCAATTCTCTTTAGCTAGAGCGAGTGGGGTGCATCCGGTATCCACTGTGACTACATTGCGATGCACTTCCACATCAGTATGTAGAAAATATTCTCTGAGATTGCATATCTCGCGATTGTGTATTAAATATCAAGACCCTATTATATTAAATATTCCTCTTTCACCTGCTTAAAGACCTTGGATTGCCAAGAGCTTCAGTAGGCTCTTTTCTAGAACGAATATCCAAAGCGGCATTGCTAGGCTCATATGAAATATGGTTAGGTAGAGGGGGTAACACAGATACCAAGTGAGGTGAGAACTGACGCGTCGCAAGTACTCCCTAAAGCTATTCCTGGGTCGAAATTCCCAGGCGCTGTCAAACTAGCATGTGTTGACCCCATCTATCACGTATGGACTCGGCCACTCACACGGTGAATCCATGGAACGCTAAGAAATAGGTCTTATAATAAAAAAATTACATTCAGGGTCAGTTGGGGTCAATTTTCAAAAATAAAAACTACACACAGCATCACTATGAGCACTATACAAGAACTACAGGATTGTTTTGAGAAGAGGATGGCAAACTTCGAAGCAGAACTCCTGAAGAAGGCCTCAAATGCTGCTAGCCTGGCTGGTCTCGCAGAGGAGTTTACTATATTCAAGACTCTCATCTTAGAAACCTTGAAGTCCTTCCAAAGCCAGATGAAGGTGCTTGCGAATGAGGTGGACAACATGGAAACCCGCAGCCGTCGCAAGATACTCCTGATACATGGTGTCGCTGAGGAGAAGGATGAGAATACATCCCGGGTCGTCGCGGAGGTAGCAGCAAGTAAGTTAGGTCTTGACTCATTTACAGCTGATGGCATAAGCCGCTGTCACAGGATGGGCCGACAGACTACGGTTGAAAAACCAAGACCCATTTTAGTTAAATTTAGGGCAGTGGCAGTGCGGGACCGAGTCTGGGCGTCTAAGACCAAACTTAGGGGCACTGGTGTGACACTCTCCGAGTTCCTGACCCGATCACGACACTCTGCTTTCATGGCAGCACGTGAGGAATTCGGGATCACGAAGTGTTGGACCAAGGAAGGTAATGTTTACGTTATGGGTCCCGACGGTTCACGCCATCGTATTACTTGTGTGGCAGACCTCGACCAGATAAGGCCAGTGGCTGCAGAAAAGCCAACCGTGACCAAAACTCAAGCTGCGAGACCGAAGAGAGCTGCTGCCGGTTCAAAAAAGTAAATGGTTGCTATGTGGTTTTCTCTTAGATACATTGAATGTAATGTTACACTGTCTGGGTGAATTTCACGCGAGAATCAGTCCAAATTTATTTTCCTTACAAACATATTATGGTTTCGAATATGGTAATCATCAAATAATTCTGTTCAACATCATTAAACCAGCCGAACACATTTATTTTGTTGATCTACCTTTATTTAAAAAATCTCAACTTCAACTTTTGGTTAAATCTCAAAACAAAAATAGCTGTCAAGTGTCAAAGAAAGTTAAATTGCGTTCCAGGCCGCATATTTTTCTGCAACACTATTGTTTGTCATCGATTAGTTGTAAGTTTGAAACAAAGTCTTTTGAACGGGAAGTTCGCCCAGAAAATTGTGACACAATTTTGCTTCTTTTTGTTTTTGTTTTTTTTTTTCTTTTATGATTACTTTTATTTAGTTAATATCTTCCAGTAATTTCTAAATGTAAAACACACGACTGGCGGGTGGATCATAAAATTATTTTTTTTATTTTTTATTACTACTATTCATATATTATTATTATTTATTGAACATTATTGCTATATTAGTTTACTTATACATTCTTGAGTCAACTTTATGTCTGACTTAGACAATAATGATGATGACAGTTTTTACTCGATAAACAGTCTTGATTCTAGTTACGTTAGCATACCCTCACTCCATGAGAATCTTCAGTACCAATTTTCTAATGCTCCGCGGAATTTTAATGTAGTTCATATCAATGCCCAGAGTATTCCAGCTCATTTCCCAGATATGCTGGCGACCTTTGATTGCAAGAACATTCACGCCATTTTAGTTTCAGAGACATGGTTAAAACCGTGCTTACCTTCTACACCATATACTCTTCCTGGTTTCAATCTCATAAGGAATGACCGTGCGATCGGTGGTGGGGGGGGTGTTGGCATATATCTGCGACAGCACATTCCCTTTACCATTGTAAACATGTCGTCACAGCCCCCATCACCGGACGCTGGCGAGCACCTCTTTATAGAACTAGTAATTAATCATGAGAAGATTTTACTTGGTGTTTACTATTCTCCCTCGTTACGTACTAATTACTTTTCCTCTTTTGAAAAATTACTAGAAAACTTATCTCCCTCTTATAGCCACACATTAATAATGGGCGATTTCAATACCTGCTTGATGAAAAATGACCATCGCTCTTCTTCACTACGCAGAATTGTGGACTGTAATAACTTATCACTCTTAACACTTGATGCTACACATCACTTCCCTAACTGCACTCCCTCTCTTCTTGATCTTATACTAGTCTCTTCTACTGATCATGTCATCAGCCATGGTCAGTATTCCGCTGATGCTTTTTCCTATCATGACTTGATATTTCTCTCTTATGCTATCCGACCACCCAAGGCAAAGCCGAGAATTCTTGTGCAGCGTAATTTTGGCGCGATGAATCTTGAAAGACTTAAGGAAGATGCGCGAAACATCAACTGGAACAATTTGTTAAATTCGCAGTGTGTTAATGATAAAGTCCAAATATTCACAGATAACTTGATACAGCTCTATAACGTCCACGCACCCTTGCGATCAATAAAGCTTAAACATTTACCGGCTCCATGGCTTACTGAGGAGATACGCAGCATTATGTCCAGGAAATGTATAGCGAAAAGCAAATACAAGCGTCGACCAACCGAAGCGAACCTGGAAAAATATGTGTACCTGAGAAATCTCTGCAATAAGATGTGTAGAAACGCACAACGCCAACATATCCACTCTTCCGTAGAAAACGGAGATCCAGCAAAAGTCTGGAAATTTCTAAGAACATTGGGAGTCGGGAGGTCTCGCCAAGAGCCTATTCCCAAAAATGTCAACATTGACTTACTCAATAAACATTTCTCTGCCTCGTCTGACATTAGTGACAGTACAAAAGCTAATACTCTTAGATATATTTCTACTACCCCAACTCCCAACTATCCACCTCTCGTCTTTGATCAGTTGTCCGCTTGTGATGTTAGGAAGACCATTCTGGCGATCTCATCCAACGCAGTGGGAAGTGACTGCATCAGCCGAAACATGATTATACCTATCCTTGACGAAATTCTACTTATCCTATGCAATATCCTTAATCACTCCGTCACAAGCGGTGTTTTTCCATCTGCATGGAAAGATGCCCAAGTAATCCCTCTTCCAAAAAAAACTAAACCCTCTTCATTTTCTGACTATCGGCCCATATCTATTTTACCTTTCCTATCCAAAGTACTTGAACGCCTCATCCACTCTCAACTGACTAACTTTCTCTCCAAAAATTCTCTACTGAACCCCTTCCAATCCGGATTTCGCCCTGGCCATAGCACTACTTCTGCGCTGGTACACATTACAGACAGCATCAGACTAGGCATGGATAGTGGAAAGATCACAGTTCTCACCTTACTTGATTTTAGCAATGCCTTCAATACTGTGGATTTTCACATTCTGCTTGGCATACTACGGTCTCTTAACATATCTCCAAGGACAATTGATTGGTTTCAAAGTTACCTGTCTGGTCGCCGGCAACGGATTTGCATTGATGACTCCATGTCCTCTTGGTGCAGTATTTCTGCTGGTGTACCGCAGGGTGGCGTTCTATCTCCTTTACTCTTCGCTGTTTTTATAAACTCAATCTCTAATCAACTAAGTTCCTTCTACCACCTTTATGCAGATGATTTGCAAATATATACACAAGCTCCGATTAACATGTTATCGGATGCATTCAACATAATTAACGCTGACCTTCAACGCATTGGCGAGTGGAGTTATAACTATGGACTTATGATTAATCCTAAGAAGACACAGGTGTGTGTTATCGGCAGCCCCAGGCTGATCTCAAAAGTTAACTGGACTCTACTGCCCCAAATTCAGTTCGGTGGCACAACTCTTGAGATAAGCACTACTGTAAAAAATTTAGGAATCTACATAGACAACACTTTGTCATGGGGTCCACAGATGCAAGAGGTCAGTCGTAGGATATTTGCTTCAGCCGGTTCTCTTCGAAGACTACGCAAATTCCTTCCAACTGCAACTAGGGTTGCGCTTGCACAAGCACTTCTCCTCCCAATTCTCGACTATGCCGATGTCAGCTATCTGAATCTCACTGAAGCACAACTCGATAAGCTTGAGCGACTACAAAATATGTGTATACGATTCGTATTTGGTTTACGAAAATACGATCACGTCTCTGAATTCCGTCAAATGCTCAAGTGGCTTCCAATTCGCTCTCGCCGGAATACTCATATCCTTATTTTCCTTTACAACATTTTGTTTAATCCCAAAACCCCTTTCTACCTCAAAGAACGATTCAAGTTCCTTAATGACACACACGAAAAATGTCTGCGGTCATCCGTAAGTTTACAACTGGAGATGCCACTGCATTCCACCAAATTTTATGACCAATCCTTCACTGTTGAAGCTGTGCGCTTGTGGAATGCACTGCCGCTTAACATCAGGCAGGCGCAAACATTAAATAGATTCAAGAAAATGGTACAGGAATTTTATTCACCTTAAGAGTCCATCACGCTTGAGGGTGTAAAGAAACTGTTTCTCTTTTCTATATGTTTATTCATTTAAGAATGCGTATATATATATGTATGTGTATATGTATATCTGCTGGTATAGTATGTGGGTACTTATATATATGTAGGTTTATTTATTGTGATGCATTGTAGATGTAAGTATAAAAAATTGTAAATGTTTGTAGATAATATGATATGTGTAGTATATGTAATATGTATAGTGGATAATAGTAAACAAATAGTAGGTTCACAACAATTCAACTACTACTGTCTCTCTGCAACTTTTGATCCATCCTAAGGTTGCCTGGAAGAAATTGCATTTAGCAATAAGGCCGCCCTTTGTACACTCGATATTTGATCGTTGTGTTCCTTTCTTGAAACTCTGTAATTTAGTGTGCAAATAAAGAGTTATCTATCTATCTATCTATCTATAACGATTCAATCAATACCCCATTCATACGAATTATGAATGGGCATTAAACATTTATGATAAATTAAAGAAATGCGCCTACATACATACATTAAAATGCTGAAAACATTACACTCTTTTTATGATGTCGAGTTCTTATAATAATTTATCAAGACAATTTGTATCAGTGATGATGACTGACTCATTATAACTGATTGTTGTGTGTTGACTAAGTGGTGTTAAGATCTCAGAAATCAATAAGTTATCCCAAACTTAAGGTCTCTCAATGTGTGCCATAGGACACAATCCTTTTTTTTTCTTACAAAATTTAATTCACTAGGAATAAATCCTGTGTCGTGGGGGACTTTATAAACATACATGAAACAGATAAAAAGAACACCCAGGCTCAGATAAACAACAATTTATGGATCACACAGTTTTGTCTATGTGGGGATGGAACCCACAACACTCTGCGAAGTAGGAAGCAGCAAGGTACTTAAACCACTACACCATCCGTGCAGTCATTTTGTCATCCGTCAGTCTTTTTTATTTAATTAATTCATTGCTAAACATTTTTCCTAAATACTCTCATGAAATAGTCAAACATGTTAATTAAGAAATATTATTAACATCTTTAATGTACACTTTTTTATGCAAATAAAATATCTTGTAGCCAATAGTTTCATCAAACATTATTTTGCTAATCTCACACACTGAGACACACACATACTTAGTTGTCCAATTGAAACCATAATAAATAAATAATAATGTACCACATTGACACAACTCCATCTAGTCCCAAACTAAGCAGAGCTTGTAGGATGGGTTAGTACCCATCGTACAAGCTCACTGACAACTGATATAAATGCATATAAACTTTTTTTTGTAAATACATACTTATTATACACACACACAAATAATAATCACATAATCACAGGTTGATTATCCTGGAGGCTAGAAAAAAAGAGGGTTTCCCGACTTTAGGCTCCAATCCATCCCCAAAAGTCAGTAAATACAATATAGACACTGTTTCATTTAATCTATATATATCTGTGAAATAGTTTGTAGTGGAAAAGAAATAAAAATATAAAAGGTACAGACAAGGAGACAGGTGACAAGTGACTACCAACAGACACCTGTTACATAACAGTCACAAGTGAGTGGCCACTCTTGAGTCACCCCCAGTGTCAGGGGAAGAGGGTTTGGGCACTAGTTACTTACTCCGTGAAAAGCGATAAAATACCCTCAGAGTTAAAAACTTGAAATTAAGCATTCGTCAAACTAAAAACCTACCATTGAACCAGTAAAAAATCATTTGCTCACATATTAAGTTACTTAATGTAGAATTACAATATGATAGTCTATTAAATATGTAATATAAATATTCTTATTTATTTATTATTATTTGGTTTAGACACTTGATCCATTTCTTAAGTATAATATACATACATATATATAAGATACATAATATACATACATATTATAAGAAAAACAATTTGTTTATGATGAAAGTAATTTATGAACATGGAAGATAACCACTATTACTGTAAAACAGTATTTCTACCTTATATATACTTCAGACTTTTTAACTGAATTTATGGTCAAACAAATAGATATGTAGGATAGTAGACTCTGGAATAGACCAGAAATAGCTGGGCTTCCAAGTATATTGTTCAATCTGTAAGATATGTTTGAAATAATGAAAATGCTACAATTTTGTCAGTTAATTTAAAAAATGAAGTACACATTAAAGTTAATAAAAATTAATTATTGTGTGCATTCATAACTTCTTTGGTTTATTAATGTTTATGTGGTAAATTCGGTTAAATATTTACTCTAAAATGATTGCAGTATGTAGTGAAACAAATATTTCATCTTACAATTTAAACAAAACACTAACTATTTAAGAGAAATCTAGATCAATTTATATTGTTGAGGCAATCAATTAATGTAAAAACATTAAATTACAACAGATAACTTCACAATACTTGATCAGCTCGTAGAATAAGAGTAGTAAAAGGAGTACTCACTGATTTGTTGCACTGCTATCTGTTGCTGTTGATGAGCGGCAGCAGCGGCGTGGGCTGCGGCCTGTGCGCTCAGCACGTGAGCGGTGAGTTCACCACCCACCAGCCCGCGCCCCAATTCACCGCCAACCAGACCACCTACCGCGCCTTCCAGCACCTCCACGCCACCCAGCGCTCCGCTGGAATATAACCCCATCATTTTATCACCGACCAATGCACACGACGCCGAACTTAACACTAAATTTGCGTAATTCTCGATGGCCGTACAACGATTCGGTCCACCGACGCTTTCACTTTAAGCCAAAGAAGAATAAGAAAAAACAAAACACGATCTGTTTACATTCAGCCAAATTTCCCGCCAATGCGGTAAGAAGAACTAATGGCGAATTATGCAAAATCGTATCAGAAAATTATTTAATAGTCAATTTTATTACATTTCATACAACGCGAACATTAATTTAAGTTGTAATTGCAGTGAAAATTTAATTAAAAATCGTTGGAGGTCGCCATTACAAATGTATTGTTTATGGTTAATACAATCGGATTTGTCAACACGGTGACAGCTAAAAAATAGTTTAATAGAATGTAAATATTTACGCATCAGTTGAGAGATCCGTCTACGAGCGACTCTGATGCTAAAGGCAAAGTAATGATTAACTTAAAATGTTAGGAAGTTGATAATATTTTTTTTCAACTAGTTTTACAAACACTCGGTTGCAACTGTAAACCTAGAAGTTTATAAGTAATAACACTGTAAGAATTATCACTTCGCAGTCGTTCACAAGATTGACGTACGCCTTAGCCATTATTTGTCTTAATTATATTAAAGGGAGGGTAACAACGGGATATAAAAGCCTCCTATTGCTGGATTTCTGGGCGAGCACGTAGTACATACTCGGAACTGTTAATACAAAACTAATGTGTCATCTATGTAATATCTCAGTTTAATATTCGATCTCATCTCATTATTATTGTTGGCGGTGCCGCGCGGACGCACAAATTTGCTAAGCGAAGCGCCTCTTACGCGTGCGTTGCGCACCCTGAACCTCGTAGCCATAGATATTGACTTATTTAGTTGTTCACTGAGTAAGTTCACAAAGACAGCATTATATATTATATGTTACAAGGCACAAACTTAGAAATGTAAAACAAGTAATTTTGTAATAATTACACGATCGCATTAGGATATACCTGTAATGATAGTAGTAAGTGTGAATACTAATAAATAAATAAATTCTTATCCAGAAGATCAGTAGTAGATCAACGACTTCTTCAGCTGAACTTATCGATTTAATATGTAAAACGTAATTTTACACTTAAGCAAACATATCTCGTACGAGGCAAATGAAGTAAAATCAGATACTAGATGCTGCTTCTGCTTTGACTTATATTTTTTTCAAGGATATCATACAATAGATGCAGTTTCTTATCATTTTTAGTATTAGAAGGTTTTATTAAAATAGTTACATGGTGATGACATAGTTACTTAGTTCATATGAATTTAAGTTTTAATAATTTAATAACGAAGGCTTTTTTTCTACCTCGAGCTTTCATACTTAGTTATATCAAATAAAGCTGTGGGCATTTAATTATAAATATATATTAGCTTATATATATATATATAGTTGGGTGTTAGAGGTAAAATTTATTTGCTTTCCTGGCGGTCCGTCTATTGCTATCCGTCTGTTACAAATTCCATCTGTTTATTACATCATCATCATCATCATCAGCAGCCTATAGCAGTCCACTGCTGGACATATGCCTCTCACTTACAAAAAGCTAAAATTCAAAAATGTAATATATCTGCAGTCATGAAGACGAGGAAAAATATGGGACAAGGACATTTATAGTATATAGAACGGTAACATTTCCTCTTTCTCCTCCCTACATGCTATTCGTACTCGCTCGGAGCTGTACGGAAAATAATAGTGTCATATACAAGAAAAAGTTTTATTACAAGAAACTCTTAAGTAAAATAATTTAATTTACAAAATTCTAGACGGTCATGCCTAATAGGAAACGCACACCAGTGCCGGAAAAGCTTTTATTTTATTGAAAATGAACTTATCCGTACAGCTGCGCCACAAAAATTACCCTCCCACGAGTTGCGCATTTTATCTTCATGTGAATCACACTATCCCGCTCGCACTCGTAAGTTTTCAAAAAAACATTTGACTCTCTCTCTCTTTCTCTCTTAAACAATTATATTCGATCTTTTTCCGCCAGAGTGTTCACCATATCGCTGTCCTACTCACAGTTAAGGAGATTGGAGGGTGAAACCTCATTGCTCAGGGTGTTCGCACGCGGTTTTTGCCATCAAATATTTGCGTTTGCATGTCGAATTCATTGAATTTAGCGTATATCATTAGCCGTCTGCTGCAGATACAGGTTAAGATACCAAAATAACTAACTTCTTCAATTTAACAAGTTGCTCTACAGGTGTTTACTTGTTTTCTTATTCGATTAAAGATTTCATAATATGCATATGTGTGTGTATTCCGTTCCTACTAATTTTTAACACCATGCCGGTATGAATATTGTTAACACATAAACATGAATCTACCAAATCTGCACCCTGAACTTTCAAATCCCCTTTTCAGTACAAATTAAAAAAATATCTAACATATTTTGATCTTGCCTGAAAAAGTTGGATGGATGTTTAACTTTGAGGGTTCTTTTTGAGAATACCCTTGTCCGACTATTAATCACAGAAGGCACTGCAATTTATCTCCTCTGAATACTAAGGTACATTGTGAAAATAGAACTGAATAAGTTTTTAATGTTGGTTCTATTAAAATATCATAAATATTTATACATGAATTGGTCGTTAAAAATACATCTTTCATTTTCCGTACGCGGCAGAATTATACTCGAGCCGTACAATAAAATATCATGCAGAAGTCGTATTTATCTTTAATTGATATTAATGTGTGCATCTTTTACATTTGTCTAAGTACTATTCGCACAATAGCTTTTGAAGTAACAAGTTGGTACCACTTTTCCTACATTTACATTATTTTAAACTTAAACTTCAACAATACTATTTCACTATAAAAGTAATCGTCACAATTTCACAGTATGTTGTCTTCAGCATACAAGTTTTTTGATGATTCGGCGTGTCTTTAGCATGGCGCCACGAGTCTAACCATCTACTTGGGGCATACTGAATGTCTGAATATCTGGCCACTTACAATAAAAGAACGAAAAAATAATTATGGAATTCGAAAATGAAACTCTTTAGGAACATGTTACTTTTTAATTTGAGAGACTGTCATTTGTTTTTTTATTGTAACGTCCATTCGGAAATTGTGTGTCGAATTTAACTCGTGAACATTTTTGTTCAACGATTTTTTATGATTTTCGTTGTGACTTAAGTCAACAAGAAAGTTGACAGAGACTTCAATTGGCATTTGGTGATGGAGCATCATGTCGCAGCTCTGTGTATTCGTAGTTTGGAGATCATCATCTCCATGACGAGGTACGTGAAGGGCGGCCGGCGACTGCGGTTACAGACTCCAATTTTTACACCGTACGACAACTTATTGAAACTGGCAAAAAAAATTACTTGCCAGCAATTTCGTGCTTTCCTAGGCATTGAAATGAGCCAAGTGCAAAACATTTTACATGTGCATCTGAAGGATCAGAAGCTTTGCACTCGATGGATACCGCATGACTTAACGGAGGATCAGAAACGACTGCGTGTCCAGTGGTGCGTTAAAATGATAAAAAAAACTAGTGTGCTTTAGACTACACGACTGAAGTAAAACTTTTGGCTATGAGAGAAAGAGAGAAAGAAAATGTGTGCTCGCACCTCTCTCTCTTGCCCTTACAGTAAAATACGAAACGTAACTCGCTCTCTTTCTATCTTCACTAACTTTTATCTCCCTCTCAACTTCTGTTCGCTTCGCCTGGTCACACTTTTCGTAACGCTGTCGTCACGCATTCACAAGCTTATTCCATAAATCAAGCGTGCGTAAAGAAGTTTTACTTCAAAAAGTTTAACGGAGGACAGTCATTGGCTGTCTATAATATCGTGACAGGTGACGTAACCTGGATGTACTGCTTTGAACCTGAAAGAAAAAGCCATTCGGGAGAGTGTGTCTTTCCTTTGTGATTTGCCGACAAAAGTTAAGAAAAGTCGACGCATTGGTGAAAAAATGGTTGTTTCATTTTTGGGTAAATCAGGACATTACACTACAGTATTGCTTCAAGATAAAAGGAGTGTGACTGCAGATTAATACGTGTTTGCCCAGAGTCTTAGAAAGAGTTCGCAAAAAGCGTCCTCGATGCATCCGCCTTATAGCTCGATCTCGCAATCTGCAACTTCTTTTTGTTGCCAAAAATTAAAGACAAACTTAGAGGCACACGTTTTACGAGCCCTGAATCGGCGGAGAATGCGTTCCACGAAGCCGTTGAAGAGGTCCCTAAGGAAGACTGGTCCAACTGCTTTGTACAGTGGTTTCAGCGAATGCAAAAATGCATTAATTGCGAGGGAATATATTTTGAAAAATAATAAATGTATCGTAAGTCCTATATCTAGTCTTATTTATCAGAATCCAGAAACTTTCAATATGCCTTAAGTACCCCAACGTTTAATAGAAAATACTTGTTACATTTATTTTAATACTATGGTTTAACAATTTCTGTTGCAAAAGGTGTAGGTACTAAACACTTGAAGAATTTTTAAATGATATGGAATGTACATATTATATTTTATCTGTGTCTATTTGTTTGTTTTAATCTTAAATTATTACTACATTCTATTGTGATTTGTTGTAACTGATATAAAATGTATTTTTGTTTTCATGTAATCTATGGTTATAAATTTGTGATATATTGAGATTCTTAAATCTTTAAACGTGGACAATGTTATAATTAGATTCCTAAAATATGTAATTTATAATTGCTAAGGTTTGCATGGCGAGAGGCCATAAGTAATCCATGAAAAACATTTTACTGGTTTTTTCATTTAAATCATATTCAGTAATATGTAAGTATTTAATACACTTCTGTCCATCCCCTCGGGAATATAGACGTATATATATATATATGTGTGTGTGTATATATATTATTTATTAATCTAGTCGTAAATAAGGTTAACTGTTTAAGCAACATTATCGATGAACAAAGAAAGTCATCGTTAATTATCAATCCGGAACCTTGTCTGATGAATTATGTAACGTGTCACAGCTATAAAGA